CCGGCACTGGCAGGATGACTTCGGAGTTGCCAGCCAAGTCAGCAATGTGGCGGTACAGAGGGACCCCCTTCTCAACAGCACCGGCTTTGCAGACAGCAAGGGACACCCCCAGAATGGCATTTGCACCAAACTTAGCTAGAACAGAAGAGAACCGGGTGAAATTTCTGACTCACCAACTTTTGTCCTGCTGCTCTGCACCACCTCCTCTCCTCATCACACCTCCGGTCTGTTACTAGAAATGCAAATAGCATTCCATGTGCACCCACCACTGCTTTTCCCCTCTACGACAGAGCCCAACTCCAGCCAACTAGAGGAACTGCTGACTTTATAAGAAACAAAGCTTTTCTGAGTAACCAAACTGACGGGCTGCTGTCACCTGGTTTTACTCCTGATATTTAAGTGTGATTTCTTAAGAGTGACAGAAAGAAATTGGAAGAGACCACAGGCTCATTTAGTTCATCACTAAGATCATGGACCTCTTACTGAATGTTTTTTTTTTTTTTTTTTTTTTTGGGACGGAGTTTCGCTCTTGTTACCCAGGCTGGAGTGCAATGGCGCGATCTCGGCTCACCGCAACCTCCGCCTCCTGGGTTCAGGCAATTCTCCTGCCTCAGCCTCCTGAGTAGCTGGGATTACAGGCACGCGCCACCATGCCCAGCTAATTTTTTGTATTTTTAGTAGAGACGGGGTTTCACCGTGTTGACCAGGATGGTCTCGATCTCTTGACCTCGTGATCCACCCGCCTCGGCCTCCCAAAGTGCTGGGATTACAGGCTTGAGCCACCGTGCCCGGCCACTGAATGTTTTTAAAGTCTTCAGGAGGCTTCACGATCTTCCCTAGTAAAGATGCCACCTCGGACCACTCACATTTATTTTCTGTTCCATCCATCTCGATCATCAGTTTGTCAATCTTCTCTTGTTCTGTGACATTCAGTTTCTACAAGGGAGAGGGAAGAATGAGGGTTAGTGTCACTCTTATCTGCATAACCTTTGCTCCCCTACCATGGAATCTAACTTTCAAATTGTGTAAAATCAAAATCAATTCTGTGATGTTTGTTTTATAAGCAAAAAACTGGAGGATGAAAATCAATGGGAGACACAAAACTGCCTTTTGCTTGCTTTCAAGATTATCAGGCATTCATTCACCCAACAATGAAACAAAGATGGAGACTCCTAGACACAATGCTGTGTCTTGTGTCAAACGGTCTACCCAGGGAGCCCTAAGTGACTTTACACACAAGAGAATTGTCAGGCATGTGCTATGTAAACCACCGCCACCAAGGAACATGGCTTTCATAGGCAGTAAATAAACAAAGCTCACTGTTCACTCATGAAGACTGAGCCCTTGAAAGGCAGGCTCTGCTGCTCACTTGGCTAACCTCAAAGACAGCAAATCCTCATCCTCTGATGGCAGGCATGATTTCCGCAAATAGTCCGAAATCATTTAGCAAAGCATCTAATGATGGATCAAAATGAGTTCCTGATGAGACTATAAAGTAATAAAACTGATGTACTGGGAACTGGCTCAAAGTAATCCAATAAAAATCAGCATTACTTTTTAATGTTTTTTTAATTTTTTGAGACAGTCTTGCTGTCACCCAGGCAGGAATGCAGTGTCACAATCTAGGCTCACTGCAACCTCTACCTCCTAGGCTCAAATGATCCTCCAAATTCAGCTGGGACTATAGGTGTGCACCACCACGCCTGGCTAATTTTGATATTTTGTAGAGATGGGTTTCGCCATGTTGCCCAGGCTGGTCTCCAACTCCTAGCCTCAAGGGATCTGCCCGCCTCAGCCTCCTAAAGTGTTGGGATTACAGGCGTTAGCCACTTCGCCCAGCCAAAAATCAGCATTACTTTTAAAACTTACGAATATATTAATAACAAGGCATTACTTTTATATATGATATTCTTGATACAAAAAATATGCAAAGAAAATCAACTGATCTCATGCTGTATTAGCAATTTGGTGTCTTCTGCAGCTTTGTCAAGGCATCACCGGAACAAGCAGGCAGTTACCCAAGCACACAGCTTCAGAGGCCAATCCTCACTAACAGTTTGGTGTTTCTCCCAGGGGAAAAAAATGCCAGGGTATGCCCTGCTCATCACACAAGTCACACTCCGTAAGGGTACGAAGGGACAGAAAGTAAGGTATGTGTGGAGGTGTGTCCAGGAGACTGGCAGGGGGAGATACAGGCAGATTTCGTCTGGGGGCCGGTCGGGCAGAGGGTGATTACAGAGTGCCACAAAAGCAAGGCCTAAATCAACAGGTCAGGGACAGATACAAAGAAGGGCCTCCTTTTCCCTCGTGTACAGAATGAATTCCCGGAGGAGAGGGGCTAGATAGATGCAGAGACGGAGGCTGTGGCTGGGCTAGCGCTGGGCCTAGAGAGCTTCGTGATTTTTATTTTTTATTTTTGAGGTGGAGTCCTACTTTGTTGCCCAGGCTGGAGAGCAGTGGCACACTCTCTGCTCACAGCAACCTCTGCCTCCCAGCTTCAAGTGATTCTCATGCCTCAGCCTCCCGAGTAGCTGGGACTACAGGCACAAGCCACCACACCTGGCTAATTTTTGTATTTTTAGTAGAGATGGGTTTTCACCATGTTGGCTAGACTGGCCCCCAATTCCTGACCTCAAGTGATCCATACAGCTTGGCTTTCCAAAGTGCTGCGTTTACAGGCATGGGCCACTGCACCTGGCCCAGGGCATTTTTAGACAGAGGTTTTCAAACTGGTCTCATCTGACAAGTGCCACAGAAATTACGGAGGGAAGGGCTGAAGGGAGGGTAAACGAGGTAAAAACCTGCTGACTTGGGTGTTTGCTAGGTCCCCAGCCCTACTTCACCTCCAGCAGCTCTACTTTTGTGTTTGACATATTGAAGGTTTCCAGGATGATTTTACGTAACAGGAAGAAACTCCACTGTTAAAGTCAATTGAATTATAGTAAATAATTCCAAAGTTCATGAGAAATTAGTCACCATGGACACTATCACAAACATCCCTGAGAAAGCTTCTCTTAAAATCTGGATCTTAATTTCCCAAAGGCCCAGAGAGTGGCAGGGGAGAAAAACACCTCAGGGTGCCAAGTGTCTCATTCTTCTGATGCAATTCCATCTGCTATCAGAAGTGGACAGTCAGGCAGCGGGCAGGTTAGAATTATGTCATGCACGGATTGTTCTCATGCATGACAGGGAATCCGACTGGCTTCTGTAGCTCTCAGAATAAGCTCTTCCATCAACAGGAGAGCCTCTGGGCCTCGGAGACACTCGGGTGGCATCAGACACATTGGTTATCAGGAAGCAGGTCCTACCTTGCTAACCAGGGCAGGCGCAATAGTTTTATTGATGTGCTCAACAGCCTTTGAGACACCTAGAAGGAACAATTAAATCAAATTACTAACATTAACTTTAAAACAAGGCTTGAGCAGCACTGCTAAAGAGAACCGCTGTTGAGGCCGACCCGGAAGCCCACCGAAGGACCTTCCGTAGGACCTTTACCCCCTCTCCCCTTCCCCCCAGAATCGGAGAACTTTCTGGCCCAGTCTGAGTGCTCCTACCTAGGACCCCAGAGGGTTAGAGCCACACCAAGAGCAGCTGGCTCACAGCGATCTGACGGGAAGTTAGTTTGCAAGACCATGCACTGGAAACACCAGTGGCAGACTAAAGGCTGTCCAATCAGTTACCTGAGTGCACAGGGCTGGTGCCAGGAACTCATTAATATACTTAACGGGTCTGGAGACGCCTGCCCGGCAGAGGAGGATGAAGAAGGAAAAATGAGAGAGAGACTCAGAAGAGAACCGGTGATGAAGGACTGCGAGTGAGAGACAGCGAGGGACAGGAAAGCAGAGGCGAGCATTTCAGGGACCATGCGTTCAATCTTCCACAAATGCTGACTTACTGAGCACTCATTACCATCAAGGAACAGCACCATCCTGCTCCAGGTAGGTCCCCACGTAGGCCATTGAATGGTGACATGGTAACATGTTTGTGTGTGGAGAGTGCTTCTTAGAGCATTACAATGGACTGAAGACCCAGCACCACCACTGCAACACCAGCCCAGCATTTCCCAACATGATTTCACATTGCCCCCTCCCCTGCAGCCTTTCTGGAGTTTTCCAGGTGCCCTGCTCCCCCACTGAGAATGTATGATCTAGCCCTATGTGCTTTTCTGTAATTTGACCACATATTCTATCTATAGACAGGTCAAAGTTGCACAAACACTAAGTCAATTTGCATACAGCCAGTTAGAGGCTGGCTTTGCCACAGAGCAGGGCTTCTGTGAGTCATTCAATAGGAAAATCAAACTAAATGACTCATCTGTGGCTTGCCATTAAGGGTAGGCCATTGGCTAGACCTTCCCTGGATACCTCCTTGCCCTTGAAGAAGCTGATGATCTGTAGGGCCCACAGGACCCTCCTGAGATAGGGAGACTTTTCTTTAGTTAACAGGCCCTGTTCTCATCCTTGGGTTCCTGTCCTAACCATGAAGGAGTATTTTGCAGATTATGGACAAAGTGTAATGGAAACAAGCATTGAAACTCTCAACCCTGAGCGTGAAGGGTTAGGAACCCTGGAATCAACACACCAACTTTCCTGTCCACGTGGTGGGGCACTGCTTCCATTAACATCATGGGTTACAGCAGGTTTACTGGCCATAAACCTGCAAATGCGAGCTCCCCTCTACCCTCTCCAGAGGAAGACAGGACTGGGCAAGGCCAGGAGCAAGGGCTGGAGGCAGGGAGGCCATGGGCTGTGGGTTTTAAGGCTTACCCTTCCCCATATAGCGAGTCTTATCATTGTCCCGGAGCTCTAGGGCCTCATAGATACCAGTTGAAGCACCACTGGGCACAGCAGCTCTGAAGAGACCTAGATGAGAGGGAAAAAGACAATTGTAGCAATTAAGAAATCCAGTTACAGCACAAGCCCCAGCTCCCTCCCGCCCACAGATGCATCTGTCATTAGAGCTAAACTGTTTCTTCCTCCCACCAGCTGGGGGATTTATTTAAATGCTCTGGCCTGTCCTTCGTGCCTTTCATGTGCTTATGATCCTGTACTGCAAACCTTACTACAAAGATGACTAACTCCCCTAGCAGAAAGAAACCGCTCTCCAGGAGATCCTGCATGCCACCTTCGGTCTTGTTAAAATGCACAAGCTTGCGTTAGTGCCCTGTGGATTATCCCAGCAGCACTGCCCGAGAGAAATACAGTGCGAGCCATACAGGGCATTGAAGATGTTCTGGTATGATATGTATGTGTATGTATCTATAAATATATATGTGTTTGTTTTTGTTTGTTTTGAAAAAGAATCTCACTATATCCCCAGGCTGGAGGAGTGCATGGCATGGCATATGGCATGATCTCGGCTCACTGCAACCTCTACCTACCAGGTTCAAGTGATTCTCCTGCATCAGCCTCCCCAGTGGCTGGGATTACAGGCACCTGCCACCGCACCAGACTAATTTTTGTATTTTTAGTAGAAATGGGGTTTCACCATGTTGGCCAGGCTGGTCTTGAACTCCTGACCTCGTGATCCACCTGCCTCAGCCTCTCAAAGTGCTGGGATTACAGGCCTGAGCTACCGCACCCCGCCAGATACTATATTGATGTTAAGCATGAAATTAGGGAATTTATTGGCTCAAGAGGAATATCTAGCTGATTTCTTTCAGTTTGGACAATGCTAAATGCTATTTTCGGGGTTCTATGCTCAACTGGGAGCCAGCAAAGAGTATGGATGCGAGCGGAAGGAATAAAGAAAATAAAATGTGCAGTCTAATAAATGCAAGAACGGAACCAGATTCTGAAACCAGCCATCTGGTGAAACCTAGGCCATTAAGCGTAGCAAGAACAATTTTTGGAGGAGGTAAAAGAACAGATGGTGTCAAGGAAGGTGTTGCAGATATCTGCTTAGGTGGGGCAGACAGGTTTAGGGGAGCGGAAAGTGTAGGCAGCCCCCTGAATCTACTTGAAGGTAGAAGAAATTTCTCCATTTGAGGTGTGTAGAATGTGAAGGCAAATGACAAAAAAATAAAAAATAAAAAACAGCAACAAAAAAACCAACCAAACAAACAACCAGGTATTTCCAGCAAAGGACCCACCAGTGTTCCCCATCGCACTGCAGTGTGTTACGATGGACTTTCTTCTTGGAACCTGACCTGGGGCTCCCTACATATCCACCCAGCACTGGATCGGGCAAAGACAAGATGAAAACAAGAGGCTTGCGTCTGCGGACTTTTGGTGATAATGATGTGTATGCACAGTCACCACTCTGGTGGGGATGTTGACAATGGAGAGGCAGCACATGTGCAGAGGCAGCGGGTGCACGTGGGCTCATGGGCCTCTGCACCTTCCGCCTGCTTTTGCTGTGAAGCTAAAACCTAAAACTGCTCTAAAAAAGGCCATGAGACAGGAAGAGACACGAAGATGAAATGTTCTGAACAAGTTATCATTTCATGTTTTTTGAAAAGGATTAAGACACAGAAGAGAAGTTCCATTCATTTCAATTTCAAAGTGTCCGCCTCCCAACAATCCCCTGGCGTCTGGGGTCTTTTGTTGAAGTTCAGTAATTTCCAAGCAGAAAGTTCCACTCATTGACAAAGTAAAACAATCTCACTGGATGAAGCAAATTCTTGGTATCCTGTGAGAGCCCTCAGGATTCTGGAGAAACCCCTCTGTGCCTGAGAACCCACACAGCTACAGCCAGAGGCAGAACACAGGCAGTCTTTTGCCCTGCTAAGTCACGCCTCAAGGATCCTTCCTTCCTGAGGGGGAGGGGAGGCATGGGGGAAGGGAAGGGCTGGGGTTCCACTGCTAGGGTGACTCAGAGGGTGACTCAGCTCTGACCGGCAGTTCTCTGTGAGTTTAGCACCCCCGAGTGATTCTGCCTGAAGCTCCTTTGCCAACCTCACCCACCCTGTCCACTGCGCCATGTGCTGGAGGTAACGAAGGGCTACAGAGGCACTGGATTTTCTTCTTAAAGTAAAACGAAGGAGTTTCCCCATTCTGTTGTTTTTTTAAGAAAACTCCTCCAGTGGGGATTGATGGCCAGGTAAAAATGAGAACCTCTGGATTATTCCCAAGCTCGCAGGTAAAAACTGTCCTTGATCCTTGCTGAAGAGTGATTTCTAGATACAGAGATAAGGGTGCTAAGTTTCCACCTGCTGGCCCTCCCCTCATCTCTTTCCCTATCAAGAGAGACCATCCTATCATGCTGTTATCTCCATATTTGGTCACGGCAAGCTGTTAGCCAACAACTAGTGATGGGCCCTTTTAGGGACAAGGTCTCATGGTATCACCTTACTTACTTCCTTACCTCACTGACTTAGGAGTCAACTTATGTGGTTTTAAGCCAAGGGGCACCAAGATACTGCCTACATGCAGAAAAATCCCCCAACCCCGCTAGTCAGGAATCACAACCTACTAGCGCATGCAGACAGAAGAAAAGCTTTAATCGATTTTTTTTTTTTTCCCCCAAGGCTCCAGCATTTGTAGAAAATTTCAAAAATGAAGTGTGGTGGAAGGAACTGTGGAAACCAAGGTGGCACATACCTTTTGCAGTGAAGAGATCAACCTCAACAGTGGGATTCCCACGAGAGTCAAAGATCTCCCTGGCATGGATCTTGAGAATAGACATGGTGGATTTCTGTGGGGGAAATACACAGGTCATATTTTCCATAAGCCATAATGCTGCATTTGCTTACTCATTCAAGGAATCACTTCCGAGGTTCGTGGACTAGAAAGAATCGGCATTGGACTGAATACTGGATGTTGGAAAGCTGGTTAGGGTAGGGGGAAAAGCCTGCTGGAAAGCAGTGGGAATTCTCCTGAATAAGTAGTTAGGCCTAGCTCTGGAAGGCCTTAAGCTATTTATGCCTAGTGTTCCATTATTGGAACACTAAGCTTTTGGGAGTTATTTTTATCCTACTGCCCAAGTCATCGCCAAGGTCTGATTTTTCACAAAAAATATTTGGAACCTCCAGCATAAACGGTTTAAACCCCAGGAAGTGAGGTCTTGTTCTGTAAGCAAAAAAAGAGAAAAAGCCCACAAATGTGTGTGCCCAGGGAGAAATCAAATCCAACTGGAAAGATGAATGTGTTATTAGATGCAGAACTGGCTACTGTCATGAGCAAACAATGAGGGCTGGCAGGGGAATGGAAAGGAACCAAGGACATGAAGGTCACAAGCAAAACCACTAAGACGAGGCCAAAAAGGGGTGGGGAGACCTGGGAAAAATCTGGCTTGTAGCAGAATTAAAATAGTGAATCACAAATTTGGCCATAATTCTTCAGATTAAATTTGGGACAGCAGCAGAATATTCACTTGGCAGATACTGATAATCAAATTCTGAGTTTGGAGGTCAGGAACAATGAAATCCTTGGACTGTAATCTTTGCTACTACCATTTTCTGGGACTTTCAAATTTTACTTGGGTCTTCAGTACTGTTATGTCATTAATGATGACATCTTTATTTTATTTTGATTACTTTTTTAAGACATGGGGGTCTCACTATGTTGCCCAGGCTGGTCTCAAGTGATTCTCCCCTGCCTTGGCCTCCCAAAGCATGCTAGGATTATAGGGGTGAGCCACCAGGACCAGTCAATAATGACATCTAATTAGTATTTCTTCCCAAGGGGGCTTTATAATTTGGAAATAGAGGAAAGATTCTTTGAACACCAAGATACTTCAAGGGAAGGGGCTTCCTTTGAAAACACTTAAAAAAAAAAAACCCAAGAATTTGCAGCAATGAAAAACAAATAGCAATTCCTTAAAGAAAAACCCTTTCTTACTTTTTTCCTTGGTGCTCTCCAAAGAAACTAACTGAACAACTTACAGAACCGAGGTGGGTGAGAGAACTTAGTGTTCAAAGCCATTATCTAGCTGGGCTCCCCTCCAACATCTTCTCTGGAATGTCCTGGGGCAGCAAATGGCAGATTTTTAACTTTCAAAATTAGATACTTAAGTCACTTGCGTGGCTTTGTAGTCTATGTAACAATGGAATTTTATTCTTTAGCCAAGAAAAATGTATTTAGTTTTTATCTATTAGGTTCCAAAAGGCAAGTTTATTTAAACATATTTTTAGAATAAGTTAATTTTGCATTTTGGCAAATTACATACTCGATTACATTTCCATCACTGCAAAAAGTTCTCTCAGGTCGTTTCTAGTCAATATCCCCCTGCCCCATTTCCAGACCACCACTGTGATTTACTTTGTGTATCTCAGACATACTTTTACAGGCAATTTTATGAGGGCACCTTAGCGTTTTTGGTTTCATTTTAGTGACTTAAGACAAAGGTCCTGTGATGTGAAATAAAATGTAAGTGATCTTTAAGTTAGATAGACAAACTATTCTGCAAAGTTGTCACAGCTCAGGAGCACAGGCAGGGAGGAGGGTTGGTCTGACTTCAGCATTCACTGCTTTTTTTTTTTTTTTTTGAGATAGAGTTTCACTCTTCTCGCCCAGGCTGGAGTGCAGTGGCGCCATCTGGGCTCAGTGCCTCCTGGGTTCAATTGATTTTCCTGCCCCAGCCTTCCGAATAGCTGGGACTACATGCGGCTGCCACCATGCCTGACTAATTTTTGTATTTTCAGTAGAGACGGGATTTTACCACGTTGGCCAGGCAGGTCTAGACCTCGTGATCCGCCCATCTCGGCCTCCCAAAGTGCTGGGATTACAGGCGTGAGCCACCGTGCCCAGCCCATTCGCAGCTTTTTCAGTTGCCTGGATGGAACCCCAAATTAGCGACTCAGTAAATGAACCGAGCAGTCAGGGCCCGGGTGGACCCGAAAGGCAAGTGAAGTAATGGACCCCACCGCCCAGAGAGAAGCGCACAGCGCAGGGGAACAGCAAACAGGAAGCTTTCTTAAAATACATCCTTCTTAAGTCAGATCATGGCCCGACTGTTGGTGGCCAGCCGGGGAGCCGCTCTTGCCCAACTTGGGCGAGGTTGCCTGGAGGGCTTCCCAATGATCCAACGGCTCTGCGGCAGGTTCCTCATGAAGAGGTGCCCTCTCGGAGGGAAATGAGTCACCAGCCTACGGGGCAGAAGCGCGGGCCGTGAGCGCGGCCGGAGGCAGGGGCTGTAGGTGGGGGAGGGGGCGCAGCCTCGTGGGCATCTCCCCTCTCGCCACCCTCCTCCATCTTAGGAAGGGCCTGGCCTGAGTGGGCACCGCCGCTAAGTCTGCGTTTCTCCCAAAAACCTTACACTTGGCTACAATGAAGAAGCAACTTCCACTCCCAGTCGCACACGCGAGCTAAGAGACTCGCGAGTGCAGCTCCCGACCTTCCCCGACAGTGACCCAGCCCTGCAGTCCGAAACCACGTGCTGATCTGCACCTTTCCCCTCCAAAGAAATTGGGGGCCCTGCATGTACGCCTAGCATTGCGCCCCAGCCCCGGGCCTCGGGGTGAGCGGGGGCGCCAGTTTCCACCCGGGGAGATCACGCGCCCCCGACTCCGCCACGCTGGGCCTGCAGGTGCGCCCCCTCCCTGTGAGGGGAAAGAGCCCTGCTAGCCCAGAAAAGCCCTGCGTCGCCTGCCGGTTGCTCAGCCCTTCGCCAGTCATTACCTAACCGCCGAGTCTCGTCGCCTGGGAGAGAAGCGGAGAGTGCTGCAGACACCCAGATGTGCGTTAAGACGGAGAGGTCTGCGTGCTCCAGGTCCTCACAGCTTCTGTCCGCGCCGCCCGCGCGGACTTCCTGCCCAGCTAAGAAAGGCCCCACCTACTTCCCGCCTCCCGGGTACGCCCCCTCAGCGCCGCCTCGCCATTGGTCCTGAGAGCCGTCACTTGGGCCCTCACCTCCCGGAAAGGGGCGTGCCGCTGTGACGGTGGCAGCGGCAGGGAAAGGGGGGCGACGACCCGGGGACGTGAGGCGGGCGGATTTTGAGGACCCAGACTCCCTAGAGGCCCTGTCGTGGTGCAGGCGAAACTCTGGCCCCAGATGGGACCCTTGAGCCGAATTGGGGTGTGCAGAGCTGGGGCCCTGCGGGAGGGCCCGGGACGGCGCGGCGGGCATGAGGGCTCCGGACTCTGTCACGTACTCCGAGTCCCGCACGCACTCAGCGTCGTTCCGGGGCCGCTGGTCTGGCCCTCGACTTTGCTGACGACTTTGGCGGCCCGGGCCGGCCCCGGACCTCCTACCCCGCACGCAATCCGGGAGACCCCGCTGGCGTCGAGACGTTGAGCAGCTGAGCGCCTCGGCCCCACTCGGGTTGGGGCGCGGGCCATGCCGCAGCGCTGCGTGTCCGGGGCCACGTGCGCTGCCTGCGCCTGCGCACTGCCCCCCAGCCGCGCCCGTCCGGCGGTGCTCCGCCTGCCACCCGCCAAGGTGACCCCGTCCCTTTCTCCTTGCTGCGGCGAGAATCAGGCCGAGACAGCCAAAGGAAGCTTCACTTCCCTTTAATTCTGCCTCATACTTTTTAAGTGCCTCCTAGGTGCCCGCCGCACCCCCGCATGCTAACCCAGCGTTAATCTATTCTCCAGCCCATGTTCATGTTGCATCTGAAATTTCACATCCCCCTCATTACCATCTAGAGACCTAGATCAAATCTACCTGGATTCTTGTGAACCATTCATGTACATTTTTTGGGACTGGAGTTTCACATGGACCCGGAGTTTCTCAAAGTTCAAGACGGCTCATATTCTATGGAATATGGAAGGAGTTGGTGGATGACTGCACCTGTCTGATCAAGATAGCCATTACAACTCAGCTCCACAGTACCTCCCCCTCCACTCTAAGGGAGAGTTGAAATGGTCACTCCGTTTTCTGTTATGGTTACTTTTGTATTTTTCAGCATCACTGCTGGTCTGTAAGAGAACTAAACATCTCCTGATTTTCCTCATTTCCTTGCAAAGAGATGTTCAAATCTATACTTGAATTTATTATTTCTTCTGGTCAGCTGCAAAAAACTGCTTTTCTTCCTTAACCCCTAGCATTTTTATCCTCGTAGCTACTGAGAGGTTTCCAAGGCGTTGGTTAAAAGTGAAGGCATATTGCGTCCATAGTATTTGTTTTCCAGTGGGTAAGAAGCAAGAACTTCAAGATTAAATTCAGAAAAATAATTGTAAAATGTTTTATTAAAGAATTACACGAATTTTGCAAGCAGAGTTTGTGATTTTACCAGCAATTCACTTATGTTTTTGGCTGCTTAAAGCCAATATCCCCAGCCCCATGACTCAGCAGCTAAATCAACAGCCAACATGTACTGGTAAGAACTCTAAGAAATCAGGCACTTGGTACTTTTACTTTCGGAGCAATTCTAAGGCGGGGCCCTGAAAGGGCTCCAATCTTATTTTACATGGAAATGGTTAGGGAGATAAAGATACTCTGCTCCTGCCAGAACCAGTAAATCTAGCAGAAAATCAGAGGCAGAGCATGATCCGGGCTGCCACTGTTGTAAGATTCTTGGAAGCTGCAGCTCCACACAGTCTGAGCCAGCACTTCGACCTCACATTGTAGCTAAAATGTTAATGATTACTAGAGATGTCCTGAAATCTTTTCCAAAACTCATAGGCTGCCAAATGCCCTCCCTGTTTCCATAGCTCCTGAGGCTTTGTTAGCAGGCTGTGGGGTTCACATTTGCTTGTATTCAGCATAAGAGCATTTAGTTATTATTTCTCACTTGCTGCAAGTTTGTTGAGCAGTTTTATTGGTGGTGGGCAGGTGGGGAATAACTGTCCAGAGCTAGCGGAATACCACACCTTGAAGCATTGTAGGTAGCACATGCATGGTGTCTGCAGGTGACTAGGAGCAAGGGAAAGTGAGTCTGCTACGGCCTATAACTCGCTTAGATTGCTGATTCTACCTGTGATATGTGTGCAAAAACCACCAGTCAGCAGGAGAAGGTGGTCTTTATGAAAGACGGTCTCCAGCCAGATAGGGAACCTCAGGGTAGGATGAGGAGCTCTGGGGAGGTAAGACACCAGATGAGTGCAGAAGGCCTCTGGGGATCTGGGTGGATGGTGCTGCCTCATGACAGATCATACGGTTTTAGTATTTGGTTATCACTCAGTATTTCACGTACACCTGAGACTACATAAAGTGTACATAAATGTCTCTGTACCCACATCCCACTTAAGAAATGGAACATTAGAGTCCAGGCTTGGTGGCCCACACCAGTAATCCCAGTACTTTGGGAGGCTGAGGCAAGAGCATTCTCCTGCCTCAGCCTCCAAGTAGCTGGGATTACGGGCGTCCACCACCACGCTCAGCTAATATTTTTGTATTTTTAGTAGAGATGGGTTTCACCATGTTGGCCAGGCTATCTTGATCTCCTGACCTCAGGTGATTAACTCACCTTGGCCTCCCAAAGTGCTGGGATTGCAGGTGTGAGCTACCATGCCCAGCCTGTTTTATTTTAATTTAATTTAATTTTTCTTTTTTTTAGACAGTCTCACTCTGTTGCCCAAGCTGGAGTGCAGTGGTGCAATCTTGGCTCACCACAACCTCTGCCTCCTGGGTTCAAGCGGTTCTCCTGCCTCAGACTCCTGAGTAATTGGGATTACAGGCACCCTCCAACACACCCAGCTAAGTTTTGTATTTAGTAGAGATGGGGTTTTACCATGTTGGTCAGGCTGGTCTCGAACTCCTGACCTTGTGATCTGCCGACCTTGGCCTCCCAAAGTGCTGAGGTTACAGATGTGAGCCACCCTGCCCGGCACTATTTTATTTTTTGAGAGGGAGCCTCACTCTGTCACCCAGGCTGGAGTGCAGTGGTGTGGTGTCGGTTCACTGCAACCTCTGCCTCCTGGTTTCAAGCATCAAGTGATTCTCCTGCTTCAGCCTCCCAAGTAGCTGGGATTATAGGCACCCACAACCATGCCCAGCTAAGTTTTGCATTTTTAGTAGAGACAGGGTTTCACCATGTTAGCCAGGATGGTCTCCATATCCTGACCTTGTGATCCACATCTCTGCTTCCCAAAGTGCTGGCATTACAGGCCATGGTGAGCCACCATGGCCGGCCATATTTTATTTTTAAATATAAAATTTTTTTTATAAGTACAGAACACTTCACAAATTTCCATGCCATCTTTGCACAGGGCCCATGCTGATCTTCTCTGTATCATTCCAATTTTTTTTAGTATACGTGATGCCGATTTTTTTTTTTTTTTTTTGACGGAGTCTTGCTCTGTAGCCCAGGCTGGAGTGCAGTGGTGCCATCTCGGCTCGCTGCAGCCTCCACCTCTTGGGTCCTGGTTCAAACAATTCTCCTGCCTCAGCCTCCCGAGTAGCTGGGATTACAGACACGGGCCATGACGCCCAGCTGTGCATTTTTAGTAGAGACAGGGGTTTCACCATGTTGGCCAGGCTGGTCTTGAACTCCTGACCAGGATCCACCCACCTCAGCCTCCCAAAGTGCTGAGATTACAGGCGTGAGCCACAGTGCCAGGCCGCTGCAAAGTTTTTCAACAGTCATGCTAGGTTGGCATTCCTCAGGGTGCCCAAATGAGAGGTGTAAGGGTGAGGGGATTAAGTAAGAAGGCCCAGGGGAGCAGGGGAAGCCAGGAAGCAGCAGGCACCTGGGAGCAGAGTTCCCCTGGGAGGAGGTGATGAAGGAGGGCACAAGTCAGAGCTGAGATAGAACACCTCCAGGAAAGTCCATCTCAGCAGGCATCAGAGGAAAGCATCTCTATTTGACATCAAAGAACTCAGCATGACCTCCCTCAGGGCCCCAGCGCCTTTATCTTCGGGATGGATGTGATAATAGCATGCTCTGAAGGAGCCCACAGTCTGGGAATTATTGCTTCAAGCTAGAATGGACGCCTAGAAGGCACTAATATCCCTAAATAGCATCTGCAGGAGGTTATTCAGCCAGTTTTCTTTTCATGTGTCTCTGTTCCCCACCTCTTTATCACAGAATTTTTAAGGTTGTCGCTGAGGTTCTTAAGGTTGTCACAGTGTCACTTAGAGGCAGGAGTGCTGGCCCCTGAGATGGCCCTTGTCTTGAAAGGAAGTGAGGTCAGATAACGATTGCTGAGTTCCAGATGGAAAATCAGGAGCCAAGTTCTTCAGAAGGTAGCAGTCCCACGTGATTCAGGCGTGGGGAGCAGGGTTTCACCACGCCTTCAGGCACACCACAAGATAATGAGAAAATTCTCCCTGCATCGATCACAGACCAATAAAATTGCTGGCCTGGGCACAGTGGCTCAGTCCTATAATCCCAGCACTTTGAGAAGGCGAGGTGCTCAGGAGTTCAAGACCAGCCTGGCCAACATGGTGAAACCCCGTCTCTACTAAAAATACAAAAATCAGCTGGATGTGGTGACAGGTGTCTGTAATCCCAGCTACTCAGTAGGCTGAGGCAGGAGAATCGCTTGAACCCCGGAGGTGGAGGATGCAGTGAGCGGAGATAGCGCCACTGCACTCCAGCTTGGGTGGCAAGAGAGAAATTGTTTCAAAAAAGAAAGAGACTTTCTGATTTTCCACAAATCCCTTACTGTTTCCTTGAAGTGAAGTCCTTGGAAGTAAAGTCCCCAAACCTCCTGCGCTGGAATTCTCCGACTAACTTTAGGCTTTTTGTTGTTTGCTGTTCTTGTTTCCTGGTGGTCAGGGAAATGCTGAGGAGAGAATGGATTTCCGCACAGCCTTTGTCAGAGCCTCTCAGGATGATCTTGAGGTAGGAGGGAAAGGGAGATTTCTCTTCCGCATTTTGAATGGAAAAGCAAGTGGGTAGATTTCTAACTGGCTGAGTGAGCCTCCTTAAAGGTACTGATCTCAAAAGCAAAGGTAGGAGACTGGATGAAAGTGATAGGCTGAGCATGGAGGCTCACCCCTGTAATCCCAGCACTTTGGGAGTCTGAAGCGGGCAGATCAACTGAGGTGGGGAATTCGAGACCAGCCTGACCAACATGGTGAAACCCTGTCTCTACTAAAAATACAAAAATTAGCTGAGCGCAGTGGCGGGCGCCTATAATTCTAGCTACTCGGGAGGCTGAGGCAGGAGAATCACTTGAACCCGGGAGGCAGAGGTTGCAGTGAGCCGAGAT